TCCTCCTCTTGCCCTCTTTGAGTGCTGCCAATTTCGTCGATTTCAACCCGTTCTAATTGGCATTCAATCGCTTCGATTGCTACGCGCAACAGGAAACACTTCACGGGTTGATTAAACTCTCAGTGCCTGGGCAACTTTCACCTGGCCAAATGAAAATTACACTGAATACCGCTGGAAATTTGGCAATTTGGCGTCGTCTTTCACTTTCTTAGAGGCCCAAGCCGGCGATTAGTGAAATGCAGTGCCCAATCATAGATGGCGCTGCGGTGCAGCGATTGCCCTTACCAAATTCGAAAGCCAAGCCAAACTTGAGGCCTGTTTTCGATTGAGAGGAAGAGACTGCAGACAGGGCTGGGTGCGGCTCACTTTTACCGTTGCCCGTGTGTGGCACGTGTGGCAAATGGCCGACACACTCGAGCTCACTATCAGAGAGTGAGAGAGAGGGAGAAATATAAAGTCTTTTTGCAAGCTTTTGAGGCTGGCTTTGATAATTTGTCGCTTAACACTTTTCATTATCCGGCGCATAAATCAAAAGTAATATTTAATAAATTTGGACACCTTGTACATAAAGCGTGATTCATACAGGCCATAAATAATGCTATTAATAAATAAAAGGAAAGCCAGAGACCGCGACCCGGCAATTTGATGTAACAACCAATCATTATTAATAGCCAAAGAAATTGCACACACGCCATGCTGGCCCGCATAACAAAAAACTCAAGAAATGGCAACGAGTTTTTGCGCTTTTCGTTTAATTCGTGGCCAAGAGTCAGGCTTAAGATGCGCACACACAGATATCACATATCAGCTCTAGACTAGGATATAATCGCGCTTTCCTTGGCCATAAATCAACAATAATTATTAGTTTTTTTCCATCAATATATTTTTTGCTGCTGTTGTTGTTGCTCATTGTATTGCGCTGCAGGTGGAAGCCACAACAGCAACAACAACAACAATATATCGATAAGCCACCGTTGATAAATTGAAAATTACGAAGGAGCACAACAATGCAGCATTATTTGCCCGAGTGCTCGCTCATGTCTTTCTATGCCACAGACACAAACATGACTCTATGGCCGCAATGTGTGGCTGATTCCTTTCTTTATGCCCAAATTGCATGCCGACTTCTTGTGGCCTGCCACCCAGCCGGGCAGACAGACATTGCGCGCTGGATTTGGCTGATTCCTTTTGACCTGTGCAACAGACAGACGGAGAGAGAGAGAGAGAGAAGCGTGCACAGTGGGGCCAGGCCAAGCCAAATTGTGTAGCAAATGAAGATAATAATGATGTGTGTAATCTGCGCGAAGCATGAATAAAACATGGGCAAGGCAACAGTGGTATCGAATGGGCAGAGATAAAATATATTTTTAGTAATATATACATACATACTTCAACTAGAGTTCGGCTCATATAATCCATCTTATCCATGTGATGGCAATAAATAAGAAAATAAAACTGCACTTCAGCAACTTTCACAAGGCTCAAGCCTTGCCCCACTGTTCGCTGGTAACTCGAACGGAGGAATGAAAAAAAAAATTGGTTGATGCGACTGCCCCGCGGGGCGGAAAATCAAATACTTGAACGTTATATTTAAGGAAAAATCACGTTTCACATAAAAGACGCTAACGTGGCCAAAGTCAAATGGAAACAATAGCCATGCAAACGGGGGCGTGCCGCAGGGCGTGCCACTTGGCCGCGATTGCCCGGCAATGGTCGGCAAGTTGATTTTATTGCGCTTTAAATTAAATATATTGTACAATTTATATA